ATGGGTTTAGTTCTGATATTTGTATAATTTTATCTAGAAATAAATGGTGTATAATTACATTTTTAGAAGATATGAAGCTTTTAGTGTTTTTTTTTTTTTTTTACATGACTTTAATCCCTCGCCATAGCAAAACAATTAGAGATATTCAATAGATATTCACAATTATGCTTCTTTAATGTATTTTCATCATGTTGAAAAAGTTTGGTGGGAATAAAATAAACCACTTAAGAGGAGTGATGCATATTTTGTCATTTAAAAAAAAATACAAAAATTGTTATGCGAAAAGACAAGGACTTAGAGATTTCTTTATCCTTTAATGCAGGAAAAATCATACAGCCAGCCACACACACACACACACACACATAAACACAGACACCAACCCTCCCTCCCTCCCCTCCCCTCTGCTCCCCTCCCCACACAGACACACACACAAACAGAATGGCAGGGGGACAAGAAATCCATTCAAACTACAATATCTGACTTTCTGTTGCTCTGAGCTAATGACTTTAAATTAGAAAGTCGATTGGCTTGATGAGAACAATATGCGTGGCAAGTTTTGTAACTGTAGGTAAAACGAGCAAAGTTATAACACACTTTATGTGTCCTTTTTTAGTCATAAAATTAATTTCCTCGCCACGGCCAAACCGTTCGAGATATCAAAAATCCCTCCGGAATTTAGCATCATCAATGTCTTGACGTCATGCTGACCGAGTTTGCTTGAAATCCGATCAATTCCCAAGGAGAATTAAATAGAATTTCAGGGGTATGCGTTTCCAAACAAACCATGATAGCCGGCTTCCTGTTGGGATGTCGTAAAACTTAGAGCACGAAAGTTGTTTAACCCAATGAGATCTATAAGTGTACACAGTTTCATATTATTACATGCAAGTGTCTTTGATTTATGGACAAGTGTTCGAATCCCAGTCCAGGGGGCGCTGTCGGTCCGCCCTGCCACGCCCGGGTACCAGCTTCAGTCCGGCCCTGATGGCCACGGGTTCTGACCCGTGTGCAAAGTTTCAAGAGTTTTAGAGGATGTTAAGAGCCCCAAAAGCCCCCGAAACCTTGATCAACAATAATTAAAAGCTTTGTCACTCAAACAGACACATCCCCCTCCCCCCACAGACACAGAGGTATGCAGAGAGAGGGAGAGAGGGACAGAGATTACTCCAAAACATCCCATTCAAACCAAAATATCTGACTTCCTGTTGTTCGGAACCAAAAACTGTAAATTAGAAAGTTGTCCGGCTTGATCTGAACAATATGCCTACCGAGTTTTAAGATTGCAGGTAAAACTATGAAACTAACCCTCTCACTTTTGTCAAAAGGTGGCGCTACTGAGTCCCTGCACCACGCCCGTTCCTGAAACTTTGCACATGTCTACTGGCTAATATATGTGACATGTCTGTCGAGTTTCATGCAATTTCAAGCATGCTAAGAGTCTCAAAAGCATCAAAAAATAATTTTAAAGTTTGATGTGTTGCCACGGCAACAGTATCAAAGATATCAAGAATCCATTCACAGGTCTACATCTGGCGTATGTTTACATTATACAGATGAAGTTTGAAGCAAATTGGGTTAAAATAAGAGGGTGATTTCGAAGCATTTTGAAAGTGACACACTTCCTGCTGCCAGTTGGTGGCGCTATAACTTTGACTCACAATAGTCACATCCATGTGATCGGCCTCTTACAGCGAACACACTGGTGAAGTTTCATCAAGATCAGTTAATGTATGCAGAAGTTATAACACACTTCCTGTTTCACGTTTCTCGCCATAATTTCGTTTCCCCGCCACGGCCAAACCGTTCGAGATATCAAAAATCCCCTCGCAATTTTTCATCCTCAATGTCTGGACTTCATGCTGACCGAGTTTCGAGGCATTTCTTTGAATTCTCTAGGAGAAGTACTTTAAATTCCATTGCATGCGTTTTACAAACAACCCTAAATAGCCGACTTCCTGTTGGGCTGGGGTAAAAAGTAAGAGCATGAAGTATATATGAACCGATGAGATCTATATGTGTACCGAGTTTCATATTCTTACATACAAGCGTGTTTGATTTATGGACCAAGTTTTCGGACCCCGTTCCAGGGGGCGCTGTCGAGCCCCCCTGCCACGCCCGGGTACCATCTTCACCCCGACCCTGATGGCCGCGGGTTCTGACCCGCGTGCAAAGTTTCAAGAGTTTTCGTGCACGTTAAGAGCCCCAAAAGTGCCCGAATAGTCGTAAGAAAAATAAAAGAGGAGAAAAAAAAAAAAAAAAAAAAAAATAATCCTAAGGAAAACAATAGGGCCTTCGCCTTTTCAAGGCTTGGGCCCTAATAATAATCCTAAGGAAAACAATAGGGCCTTCGCCTTTTCAAGGCTTGGGCCCTAATAATAAATAATCCTAAGGAAAACAATAGGGCCTTCGCCCTTTGGGCTTGGGCCCTAATAATCCTAAGGAAAACAATAGGGCCTTCGCCTTTTCAAGGCTTGGACCCTAATAATATTTTGATCACTGAACTAAGAAATTTTCTGTTTTCAAAGGTGTTTGCAGGCCCCAAAAACACAGTTGTCATGTAAATGAACAGCCAAAATGCATAACAAGTTTTCTGTTTTTGTGTAAACGGTCCCTAGATGATTGTTTGCTCCTTACAGTTGCTGGTTTGAGTGGAATTTGAGTTAACCTTCTTTTAAGGGTTTTGCGTAATGAAAACGTGTGCCTTGAATTCAGTCGAATCCATGATCACTAAACTTTTGCACTTTTCTTTCAAACTGTGCAACCCGGAAAAGTTCATAGTGTTAGAAAAGTGTCCTTTTCTTCTCTGTCAACTCCTGCCAATCCCATTCACACTATTTGTCCAGGTTGTGTTTCTTACTGGCAGATCCAGTTGCATTACCTGCTAATGCCTTCATGTATATTTCATTGCACTCTTAGTAATGTTTTGCACTTTCTTGTGTTACAATGAACGCCAAACTCCCTTTTAGTATACAAACCAGAGAATCTATAGAGACCCACTACTTAGAGAAACACACTACTTAAAAAAAAAAAACTTTAAAGAAAGATTTAAGAACGTTTTTTAATCCTAAGGTACACCATTTGTGTCATTGAATATGCAAGTTCTTATTAAAAGGAGCTCATTTTAACTTAAATTGCTTATGCAGAACCAATATGTTTACTGTGCTAAATTACAAGTTTAATGATACGATGTGATGCTGACATGCATTTGTTTGAAAAATAGGGAAAAAAAGAGCAGTTTGTGTTTCTTCATAAGTTTATTCAGTTGAGTTTAAAAGGTATGTTGAAGAGGAAGGTTTAGATCAGTTCAAATAAAAACAGGTACACTCAGGTTAAGCTTCAAAACACACTCATTTCAAGATCACAAGTCAGATCAATCACCTCTCAGAGTTCTTATACAAAAGCCTACACTCCAATAAGGCCGAAAAGGAAGAAGTGGTGCAAACATTAAGGCCAAAACACATTCCAGAGGTGGTGAGAAATTAAGGAGCAATTTAAACAAGTCTCCTACAATAAAAAAGAGTGTAAATGAGTCACGTCAATGTGGGTTATTAAAAACTCTATGATGACAGTGTGAAAACAAGAATATATATAATAAAACAATTCAGATTTTCTGACAAGTGATACATAATTGCAACCACAAGTAATTCAGTATTTGCAATTATTGTCCATATATTATTGCAGCTGTCAGATAGCCTGATATCAAGACTTCAGACCACCCAGCTAACAAAAAATATATTCTATGGGGCTGTTCGCACAGAACGCGCTTTTCCATTCCAATGCGCTACTTTTCCAATGTTTTTCTATGTAATCACACTGTAGACGGACGTGTATAACCGTTGTGCTCACGTCTTTTGCAGCTTCTCGCGAATGACCCGCCGTTCTTAAAACGTGGCGCTCAAATTAAAATCAGTTCAACTTTTTTTTTTTTCCCATTCAACTGCCCTAAGATGAATCCCTTTAGTTTTTCAAAGCACATTCTCTGTGAAAGAGCCCTAAGAACGTTTTTCTAACGTTCCCATTAAGTTATTTTCTGAATGTTCTCTTAGTGTTCAAAACATCCAGTTTTTAAATGTAAAAAAAACGTTTAATTTCTTGGTTATGCAAATATTACAGAAAACATTAAGGGAAAGTTACATTTTATCATTTTGAAAACATTATGAGAATGTTACTTTTGAGTTGCCTAGAGTAACATTTAAAAAAACGTTTGAAAAACTAAAACATTTCAGAAAAAAAAGTTCCATGAACAATGTATAAATAACATTTTAAGAATGTTGTTAAACACCAGATAACTTTTGAACAAACGTTACAGGAAGGACATTTATTCATATAACAGAACATTAGCCAAATATCTGGGAACGTTCCCTGTTAGCTGGGCGATAAGAACAGGACAAATGAGACGGCCAGAACTCTACTGTCTCATTAATATTACTCACGTCGTACCATTAACATGATCCACTTAAAGTCAAGAGGAGTCACAAGGCAAATATTCGCAGTTATTAGAGGCATCCTGATCCTGCACAATATTACAATTTGCAGATGATATTGCATTGGAACAGCTCAGAGTTAGAGAGCGGATCTAATCAAGACGCAACTGTCAATCAAAGCCAAACTTTTGTACAGTGCATTCATGCAGTGCAAAGTTTTGGAAACGCCATGGCGGAAGACATGCGTGTGTAGCCCTCCATGACTTGATGGTATTTATTTTCCTAATATCTAGGATGTATGATCTCAAATCCCCAAGAGGTGTGTCTTAAGAGGTAGACGGAACAGACCACCACAGTTCCTCTTCAAGGTAAAATCGATTACATGGCTTATAATTGCATCTCTTGATTAATGTTTGGATAGTCTAGTTAACACATAGGACCTTTTTAGAACAACAAAGGTGCCATGGTGTGCAGTGCAGTGATTCTGTCAGGATTGTTCTGCTGCTTTGCATTGAATATTAAGTAAATTCTGTGCTACTTGCAGCATCCGCCATTGTTCAAACAGGTAATAATCTCACACATTGACTGAGAATTGTCAATTGGGCCTGAGGCATCAAGGTTTGACTGGTTAGCAAGCAAAATGCATCTTTCTTAAAGGTATAGTTCTGTGAAACAAAAAACGAAGAATGTTTCAACTGCTCTTGTCCATACAATGAAAGTCAATGGGGTCCAAATAATCATCGTCTCCGAAGAATTGAGATGAAAGGGAATGCTAAAGGATCCTTCAGGTATCACAGACTTCCTTATTCAGATCGCTCAAACAGACTCAAATTCTGCTGCTAGTGGCACAGAAATTACACACTTCATCGTTAAAGTTTCCTTGCTTGCATTTTTATGGAAATGCGACTCAGATGTTGAATCCATGAATCTAAGATGAATCTAATAGCAACTATAGAATTAATCTGAAGTGTACGACAGATGTCCCTAACATCTAAACACCCTGTGTTTATTATAGGTAAAGGCAGATACAGTACATTGTCAATGAAAGGAACAAAAAAAAAAAAGTGTCTGGTAAGATGGGTTTTTTTCAATGTGTAATTGTAATCAAGCTGCAAATGATGAAATGATCTTTCTATAATAATTTGAAATATGACCAGCTGATTTTAAATTTGGAACAAACTAATTCAGAAAGCATGGTTTTGTGCAAAAATGCAGCGGTCGTTGCAGCGCCACTTGCCGTTAACATTCGGCATCTGTGCTACTCTTTGCTGCATTGGGGCTTTGTGCAGAGGAGCTGATGGTTTGCAGGTCTTCACTTGCATCCGTATGGCCAATCCCGTTGGGCCCCGTCCACTTCTCTGGACCTCCAGCCTTCACTTCACTGATCATAAAAGTATATGCAAAAATGACAACAAAAGTGAACAGACTATAATATTTATATACAGATGCCATATTAAAGTGCCCCTATTAAGCCTTTTTAGATATCACCTTTCATGTAGTGTGTAATACAGCTGTGAATGTAAAAGGTCTACAAAGTTTCAAAGATCAAAATGCAGATAAATGGAGTTATTGTCTCCCAAAAGCAAGAACTGATTCTAATCTGCCTGAAACGTGTCGTCAGTAATTCAGTCTAATTTCCTGCTCAAACCTATGTAGGTTTGTAACAAATGTGCATAATGCCAGCCTATGGTCTTCATTGACTGTCCACAAACAGCATCTATTTTGACCCTCAAACACTGTAGCTGTAGCTGAGGCCTGGAAGAGTTTGGTTCATGTTGTCGACATGTCGAGAAGACGCTGTTTTCTGTGCTGTGAAAGCGGAACCACTTTGTATGGATGAGGACTCAGGCTCGAATTGATAGGGTAAAACCGGCGCCATCGTTACTGTTCGTATCAATGTGTATTAAGCGCTGAAGTGTATCAAGCCTCCAGAGCTGAAATTCATGGTATTGATATGGTAATGGGTGTTTTGTTTCTGACACGCAATGTAATTGGTAGACCAATCACAACAGACTGGGCCATCTGACCAATCAGAGCAGAGTACGCTCTCAGAAAGGAGGAGTTTAGAGAGACTGGATCCATTATCAAACCGTTTCCGACCCTGTGAGAAAAGAGGTGATGCTGCAATGTATATTATGAGAAAATTAAAGTGTTTTTTGATGCATGTATTGTAGGAGACCTCTAAAACTAAATCAGGAATCTTTAAAATGGCATAATAGGGGCACTTTAACATCTAGCAAAATAGCTAACAAAACCCAATCTTAATCAATTTATTGTGGTTGACTGCTGAACAAACGAGTTGTGTGAGCGTAACCTTACCCTGAACAGCAGCCGTTGGTGACCGGCTCAGTGGGCTCTTTCTCAGAGAGAGATCTGCAGACACTGTCTGTCTGAGCGCCTCCTTTGAACTCCATGCCAGAATCGGAGCCCTGTGGAGCCATGGCTGGCTCTCGGCCCGAGTCTGAGCTGGTTCTTGATCCGCGCTCACTGCCTGACAGAGAGCTGCTGCCTGGCCCTTCTGTGTCTTTGCCAGAGTCAGAACTGTGTCGCCCGTTCAGGCTGTTTGATGACGAGACTTTCCTCAGCTGCCCATCATCTACAGAGCAACAGATGAAGGGGCGTCATTATCTGCTCGAGTTATGCAGAATACTCAGGGTATTTTCAATCCTAAATGTTTCATTAATGTCATTATCATCATCACCACAACTTAAAGACGTCATCAAATATTAGCTTTTAGTCCATGCCTATTAGCTTTTTCCTACATGCTATTTAACTACTATGCGCTGACATTAACTTAGATACAGTATATAGATTTCAAATATACAGGTTTTCTCTTCCTGGAAATATAAGCAAAAATAATAATTACTCCTCCTGCATTACACACATTTTGTCCAATCAAAATTGCCTAGCAATAGAAAGTAGCAAATGGTTCATGGTTGTCAACTACCAAGTTGACAGGGAACGTTCCCAGAACTTTACAAAGTTGTGGAAAAAAAAACGTTCTTTGTATCATTAATAGAATGTTCATTCAAAGTTACCAAGTCTCTTATAATGTTCTCCAAATGATAGCACAAAAACATTATTTATACATCATTCATTGAATGCTTTTTTCTGGAACGTTTTAACTGGACGTTTGTCTAACCTTTTTCAAAAGTTACAACTTGTTTCAGAATGTTTCGAGAACTTTGAAAGTAACGTAATGTTTGCAAAAAGATAAAATGGTATGTTTTCCAAATGTTTGAATTACCAATAAACTTAATGGGAACGTTAGCAAACATTCTTAGAACAAATTTTTGTTTGCTGTGTAGAACTTACAGGCTATTTTAAAAGCCCTTTGATAAAGTATGTAATACTTCCTGTTTCAACAGCAAATACATAGTAAATGCATACGTTCAACTATTTCATGGTTCTTGAAGGGTAGTGTTTATCCCCTTGCCTTCTGTGTCGGGAACACAGGCCTGTTTGCGTCTCCTCCTCAGAATTACTTCCAGTTCACTGTCCTTTTTAGTATGAACCACTTCCTGAAACCCACGACTGGGACTCTTCTTCACCGTCTCCTATAGGTTCAGAGAGAGAAAAGAATTTGAAGAATGATTCATTGCTGAGTTTGGCATCTTTTTACATCATTTTTAAGTAAAGAATACTTTAGTATATTATGCATTTATTTGGACAACCACTACTGAACACCATGATCACCATCATAACTATTTGTTGTAAACAAACATATAATGGTATGGATTTCTGTAATCTGTGGATCAGTAGATGACTGTAACAAGGGGGTATTAAAATCAGTTAATCAGAAAGCCTACCAGAATGCCTTTCAGCTCTTCCATTGCACTTTCTTGGTGCTTTTCCTCCACTGCTGCTGCTGCTGCTGCAACTGCTGCTGGGATCGGCTGCTGTGGATCAGGAACAAAGAAAAGTTACATTATATGATCAAATCACAAAATATTTCACAAAAAAACATTATATGATATAATATCCCTGTTGTTATTTTTACCTAAAACTATTAAAAAATCATTTTAGGTAATTAATAATATACCTGAGATCAAATAAAATGTAAATATTAGATGAAAAACAAAAATAAAATGTTTGCCTTATCAGCTAACTGAAATAAATATGTTTAAAGGTCCCATGACATGGAATTTTCACTTTCTGAGGTTTTTTAACATTAATATGAGTTCCCCTAGCGTGTATATGGTCCCCCAGTGGCTAGAAATTTCAATCGGTGTAAACCGAGCTTTGGCTATCTTTCTCTGCCTTTGAGAAAATGAAAGCTCAGACGAGCTGATCTTGAATCTCCTCTGTATGACGTCATACGGAGGAAAGGTTACCTCCCCTTTCTCTGCTTTGCCCGCCCAGAGAATTTGGCTCGCCCATGAGAAAATGAGCAAGGAAGTACGAATGTGCGAGCGCGATTTGAGTTTTTCCTCGAGAGATATCATGGCTTGCAAACGAGCGAAGCATGGCAGTTAATCAGTGTTCGGATGTACAAATGAACACAAAAGTATTTTTTTAGTTCCTTCATCCGAGCCTCTGAAGAAACAATGGGTTAATTTTATTTTCTCTGGAAATGCGCCGACACAACTTCCCAAAGTTTTGTATAGTCCAAACATTTCACCGATGACTGTTTCCTCAACTTGGGCCAATACAGAGCTGGCCTCGATGAACGTATGAAAATAAATCGAGCTACCAAGCAACAATTTCTGATGTGTAGCCTAATTGTTCAAGTTCAGACAGGTAAGTTAATCTTTCTCTCAAAATCGTTCAATACTGTTTATGCATAAGTCAAGCCTGTGACTAAAATATCAACTTCACATCGTTTATTTTAGTAGGATGAAAATAATCTTATTTAAATTGTGAACAAATTATACAGAAAGCGATCAAAGAACAATCTTTCCACACAGCGCGAGTTTTTCTGGACACTTGCCAAACTCGTTATGAAATCAATGACGCACGTTACACTGCACAACGAAGCTCTTACTGTATTTACATCATCGTGTTTGCATTGGTGAAAGCATTAGAGAGAGTGCAGAAACTGCGTTGCAATGATAAGATCTTCATTCTCGCGATCAACAGACTGTCATCTGCTTGCTCAATGCTCATCACGGCAACATTTTATGTGATGGGAATAGATCTAAATATTTTAAAAATTTCTCACGATTCGTTAATCTCGATAGCTGTAATAGTAAAAACGTATAATAGCTGTAGTAAAAGTATTCGAGAGAGTTTCACATGTAATATGTAGCTATTTCATATACAAGCATGTCAGCCAATCACAGCAGTGGCCGGTTACACTGAATCCCACAGCAGACACGCCCCTTCAAACCAGAGGCTAAAATCAGGCTTGGAAAAATGCCTTTTATTTCTAAAATATGACTATTTTTGATCTAAAAAACATACTAACATTATAAGGGCAACCCAGGAAACATTATAAAATAATAAAATAACCCCATGTCATGGGACATTTAAGTTGAAGTAAAATGACTAAAACTAAAGCTCAATAGACATATTAAAAGAAAAATGACAGAAAAACATAACAAAATTCTTAAAACGTATTTAATTTTAATTTAAAAATGAAAATGTAAAAATAATAACCAATTCATATTTTTTATGAAATACTATAAAAGTAAATAAATAACACTGGTGATTTAGCATGTGTTGTTTTTAAGTTTATTCATACATTTTAGATGAGTAACGTCCGAAAGTCAAAAACAAAAGACAATCTGCCAGTGCAGCATTAATGAGAATGCAGTCAATCTCTAAAGTCAGGACTATAGCTATTGATCTGAAGTTATACAGCTCCTCTGAGCCTCAGGATGATCTTGATGGCTTTGCTCATCAATAACTTAAACAAGATGGGTCCCCTCTCAGGCTATGAACTGTCTATACACAAAATGCTTTAATGACCCGACTCTTCCTCAGGGAGGACGACCAAGTGCTATGAACCATTTCTACAGGATCTTTGTATTGACAAAATGGTGCTGAGTTGTAAAACACAAGATTTCCTTTGATTGTAATAGAGCCGTCTGAACTGTTAACACTGCTGCATGTGGAACAATGATCTGGTGTGATGACTGTTGTTAAACACTGTAAACAATATGTGTGAGCTGAACATACCTTCGTGCCAAATCTCTGCAACGATGAGGTCAGCAGATGATGGTACAGAGTAGAGAAACACAACAGACCATCAATCAGTACACACAATACATAACCAATGTACCATTTACAACTGAATTAAAATGTCTATTAAATTAAAATGTAGTTTCTGAATTTGAATTGGTCGGATTGCAAATTGAATTTAAGAAATGAAGAAATTTTAAGAAAATAAAGTAGAATGAATTAAATTCTAATTATTTTAAAAGTATTGCTGTAAAAGTACTTTTTAATAATCCGTTAAAAAATGTTAGCATTAAAAAACAAGTGCAATAATAAATTAATAAAATATTTGATCAAAAGTGACATTTAATGTTACAAAATATTTCTATTTCAAATAAATGCTGTCATTTGGAGCTTTTCAAATTTATCAAAGAATCTTGAAAAATGGTAAGGTTTCCGAAAAAACGGGTTTCAACATTGATAATAATAATAAGAATTGTTTCTTGAGCAGCAAATCATCATATTAGAATGATTTCTGAAGGATCATATGACACGGAAGGCTGCAGTAATGATGATGGAAATTCAGCTTTGCATCAAAGGAAGAAAAAAAAAACATTTTATTATAATATATTAAAATAGTAACACTTTAGTTTAGGGTCAAATTCTCACAATTTATTAGCATGCATATTACTAGGATATTGGCTGTTTATTAGTACTTATAAAAGCACATATCAATGCCTTATTCTGCATAACCGTATTCTACATCCCTCAATCCTACCCAATACCTAAACTTAACAACCTAACTAACTATTAATAAGCAATAATTACCGGTAGGAGTTTATTGAGAGAAAAGTCGTAGTTAATAGTTAGTTAATAGGGAGAATTGGACCCTAAACTAAAGTGTGACCATTCAAATATAAAACAGTCATTTTAAATTGTTACACTATTTCAGAATATTACTGTTTTACTGTATTTTTGATCAAATAAATGCAGCCTTGGTGTGACTAATGTTCAAAAACATTTAAAAAAATTTTTACCAACCCCTAACCTTTAAACAGCAGTGTAAACATTTGAAATCCCATTTATAAATTTTTGTATTTAGTCTATATTTTATAGACCATGATGGAAGTACACTCAATTTCACAGAATGCTTAGATTTACCTGAACGTCTTCAAAATAGAGCCAAATAACATGAAGCAAGTTTACCAAGTGGAAACATCAAACATTATTTGTTTTTGCCAATTTAGTTGGTTTGGGTGAATCAAATTGTTCTGCTGTGTGACTGTGTTAAATTTCTTTAAATTGCAAATGCAATACAATATATTCCTCTTCCTGTAATTCCAATTCAAAATCATGTGGGGTGTGGACAATTCGATTCAAATTTCAACTCATAAAGAGAGCCAATAAAATTCTGAATTTTGCCCAACCTTAGTGTCCTGACTCTTCACAGGCCTGAGAACCACTCCGTGTTTTATTCTCTCCATCATCTCATTGACGGCTTTCACTTTAACATCATCCACAGCTTCAGTTGCTGCGTTCGAGAGAGATAGTGTTTGTCAGGGCACCAATAAAAGGGCAACATAATAAAAATACACCATTCTGACTATAGGGGACAATAACCTGGGGCTTGCTCTTGTTTTGGGCTTCCTTTACCTCCCTTGGAAGATTTCCTCATAATCGCAATGAGAGAGCTGCCGTAAACAAAGAGATGTAATTAGACGTTCACAGCAGGGATAAAGAACAACACTGTTTTAATGATGGTATATGACAGTCTGGCTTCAGTGCAGTAAAGTGGGGCGTTACCTGAGGGGGTTGCAGCGGGACGGAGGAGGCGGGGGAGGTGGAGGAGGAGGGGGTGGGGGAGGTGGAGGTGGTTGAGGAAGAGGGGCCGGGGGAGGAGCGGTCCCAGGGGAGGGGGCTGACGCTGAATCACAGCTCCTCCTCTCCTCCTGCAGATCTTTCACTGTGACAAACGACAAAAGGATGCCGGGATGTTATGTTTCTGAGTGTTATGCTGCTGGAGTATCTGGCCTTCAGATTTAAAATCATCCTTAATTTTACCTTTCATTTCCAAAACACTGTTTTTCTTCTCTTCCTCCTGCAGTCGTCCCTCCGTCTCTTTCTTTTCTTCATCTAATATCTCTAGTTGCCTTTGCAGTTGAACTAGCTGCTTACGCAAAGCACATTCTTGCAGTTCAGCCTCTAGAGCCTTTACCTGCAAACGAATGGGACATATTATACGTTCAAGTCATGTTGAAAAGATTGTATTTGAATGCACAGATTTTATTAAAGTCTCAGAGTTGAGGGCATACCCGAGAGAAAACATGTTGGGCCTGTGTTAATTGTAAATTTATTAAAATAAACAATTTTTTTATTTTTTATTTTTTACAATAAAACTATGTGGAAAATTCCATAGTATTACACAATTACCATAGAATATATAATGATTTAATTTTATTTTTGTGTTAAAATATGTAAAATATATATTTTATTCATCATTTTGCATCTTCTTGTAGAAACTTTGGTTGAATTATAAGTAGAAAAAGCACATCACCATCTCTCCAGCTAATAAGGAACATTCTGAGAACTTTGGCTAAAGTTCTGGCAAGATTATGAACAAACATTTTTCCAGCATCAAAGTTATCTGGTCTTTAAAAATGTTCTCAAAATGTTAGCACAAAAATAATGTCAATACATGGTTCATGGAATGTCTTTTTTTCTCAAACGTTTGAGTTGGATGTTCGACTAACATTTTTAAAATGTTACTACTTGTTTCAGAATGTTTTGAGAACATTATAAAGTAGCATTCTTACTCCATTCTCCATTCTTACCCGTTTATTCTGCCTCCCATCTGCCACTACTCGCTGTTAGGGTTAGGGTTAACCTAACGCATTTCTAACCTAGACTCTAACCAGTGAAACCTGGCTTAATCGTAACATTGCAACCAGTATGATTGATGTCCCTGGCTATGTTTGTTATAGAAAGGACAGATCATCTGGCAGGGGAGGGGGCGTATTGATTCATGTCAGAGATATTCTTAAATGTAAGGAAATCAAATTGGACACATCTTTGGAATGTTTAGCCTTAAATGTAGCACTGCCCCCCTAGATGAATTTTAATATTTTAATCCTGTACAATCTACCATCACATGATGTTTCATTTTATCGTGATTTAGATGAATTGTTTAAATTGTCGTTCTGAATGTCTCTTTTTTGGAGATTTTAATATAAATTGGTTAGATAAACATGGTAAACAAAAGCTGAAAATGATAATGTCAAAACATAATTTTCAGCAGATAGTAAAGGGTCCAACTAGAATCACTCGAACAAGTAAAACCATGATTGATTTGATAATGACATAGACCTGAAAGAATTATAAAGACGTACAACTTAATAACGGGCCTCTCTGACCAGAATATGACTTTGATTATCAGAAAACTAACAAAGAAGGAGCTCTTTACCCTGGCTAGATAATGATATTCGCCAGTTAATGAAAAAAAGAGATCTTAAACACCTTAACAGTCTTACTAAACTTAAGCCCAGCCAACGAAAATTAATAACGGAGTTGGAAGTAAATGGAGTGATTAGCACTGAGAAATCACAAATGAATTTAATAATTATTTCATTCAATCAGTGGAGGAGCTTGCTCAAAATTTTGAAACAGTAAAACTATCACAGGCTAATATAACAGACACTTTTCAGTCCTTTTATATTAAGGAAGTTGACCAAGAGAAATTTGCTAAAATCATTAATAAATTAAATAATTCAAAGGCAAAGGATTGGTTTGGGTTGGATATTGCTGTTATTAAAACACACAGCTCCACTCTAATTAAACCAATAACACATCTGATAAACCTCTCCATTAGAGTTGGTAAATTTCCACAAACCTAGAAAACAGCAGTCATAACGCCAATTTTGAAGGCTGGTGCACCAGACCAAGTAAGCAATTATAGACCAATCTCTATCCTACCAGTTCTCTCAAAGATTCTGGAAAAAATTGTTGCAGAACAACTGGTTGACCACCTTGAAAATAATTTACTTATTTATCCTAAACAATTTGCATTTAGACCAGGGTATTCAACTGAAATGGCTAACTGCTACCTTTCTGAAAACATCAAGTCTTCATTAGATAAGGGTAATGTAGGTGGAGCAGTGTTCATAGATATTAAACAGGCCTTTGATACTGTGAATCTTGAAGTGCTTTTGAACAAACTACGTACTTTTAATTTTTCTGAGCAAGCAACTGGCTGGTTTGTATCCTATCTCGAATCAAGAGAGCAGCGTGTAAAAATCAATGCAGAATATTCAACCCCCCGACAATCTACAATGGGAATTCCACAAGGCTCGATTTTGGGGACTCTGCTCTTCAGCTTATACATAAACGACTTACCATCATGTTGTAAAAAAGCTGAATGTCAGATGTATGCTAAAACCCCTTGTGTAGCAGCAGATATATTAACAAGCGAAATGGAGGGAGTATCCCTATGGCTTAAAAACAATCACTTAACTCTGAATCTGAAAAAGACAGTGTCAATGTATTTTTCCATGAGAAGGAAAGCAAAAGAAAAGCTTATAATTAGAATAAATCAAGAGGAAATAGAGGAAGTCAATGATTTTAAATTCCTAGGTGTAATTTTGGACCCCGAACTTAAAGGTTGCATCAGCGATTGTGGGTGACGTCACTTCTGTTTGTGTTTGAAGCGAGATCCCAAACAAACCAAGTTAGCTTCCCCTCCCTCCTGTTTCGTGCATCATGAAAAAAATTTGATAGACGCGCTGGCTTCTTCTTCAGCTCTGACTTCGCGTGCAGGCACCGTGCACGAGCGCAAAAACAAACAAAACCCGCCCCTGTCGGTGATTGGTTGGAACACTATTTATTTTGGGTTTTGAGTGGTGGTTGTACCCATTTGTTTTTGTGTGCAGATCTCAGAGCCTAGGCTGCCTACAGAGACGCGTTTTTTTGACAGCCTGCTTATGGGGCGGGCAGCTAGCGGATCGTTAGGAAAGATTAGATGAATGTGATCATTTATGTTTGGGCCTGAAATCGCTGATACAACCTTTAAATTTGATAAACATGTTAAAAAACTATGCAAAACTGTAAAGACTAATTTGAACTGTTTTAGAATGATTAGACATTACATACCCCTCAAGGCAGCTCAACTCTTTATGCATGCCATGATATTCTCCCATCTTTCTTATTGTGTTACTGTATGGAGCCAGGCTTCACAGTCAACTGTTAAACCCATTATTTCACTATAAACAAGCACTGAAAATAATGGATCAAAACAAACTAAATGGCATCATTGTATAATAGTGAAAAAGTATAATTTGCTTAGTTATGAAAGTTTTATAAAGTTCTCTTTTATCAAATTGATTTTTTAAATGTGTGAATAATCTCGCTCCAGCTGTACTTTGTCCATATGTGACAAAAACAAATACTAATAGAATCACCACTAGGGGATCAGCAAATGGTAACTGAAGGGTGGCACAGCGCAAAACCACTTTCGGTCAGTCATCTTTCTCTGTAAAAGGGATACATTTTTGGAATGCCCAACCAACAGAAATAAAAACACAAACCAATCTGAAACCATTTAATGAAAAGGTGAAACACTGGCTGAAACGAAACCAAATCTGTGATCACTGATTATGTCACTGTGCAGACGCACTTATAACAGGGTTTATGCAGGAATCATAGAGATGAATTTACTACCTTTTACTACCTTTTTTACTACCTCCACAATATTTTTTACTACCAACACGACATATATTCTATGTAACGTTACAATGTTCTCAATATAATTCATAATCCCACGTTTATAATGAACAACGCGTTATGGTTATTGTGTTATTAAAAACTGTGTACGCAGAGGGGCGGGGTGACCAAAGCTCATTATCATTTAAAGGCATGTGATTGTGCACTGAAACGGCATGCTGAAAACAGAGCTATTTTTGAGCTGGTAAAATGAGTGTTTTCTTAAAATACTAATGAGAATTTTTGATAAAAGTATATTACAAAGTTTTCATTTAGACCCTAAAGATTCATATTAACTTGTACAAAAATGGCATTATATGACCCCTTTAACCCTAGCCCTTGAGTTATCCTAACCATTACGTTAGCCCTTAGCCCTAATAAGGTGAATAATAACCTTGGCACTTAAAAACAAATGACACTTAACAGCCATAAACTTTAATAAAGATTAATAATAAAGTGTGTCACATCACACACACTTACCCACAAACACACATTCTCACACACACAGACTTAAGCAGTGAAATTACTATCCCAAAACAGCAATTTATTTAATCACATCTCTAAATGTGCTTCAAATATGGCACTGCTTTGCTCCTCCCTCACGCGAACCCGTTAAATATTTTCAATTAGGGATGCACGATACCACTTTTTGCAGAATGAGACGGATACCAATAATTTAATTTTTGGTACTCGCCGATATCGATACCGTAACCGATCCCTGAATTTTCACTGCATTTGTAATTTTTAAATGTATTAGTAGATAAACCAAAAGAATATAAATCATATTAGTTGGCTTAATTTGTTCATCAAATATATATTTCCTTCAGATATTTTCATGCTTAATTAATCCTGCTAAAAAAGCATGCTTCTGTTTCTGTCACTGTTCATTCTATTGCTCTATCATATTTTATCTTTCATTTAATACAGGGTATACACAGAAATTCTTAAAATGAATTTAATACCTTTTAATACCTTCACTATAGGGCTGGGCGATATGGCCCCAAAAAATTATCACGATATTTTTTTTTATATCAGTCGATATCGATAATTATCACGATAAATGTCAAATCTTTATTTCTTTCAAGTTTAAAGGCAGATTTTTGCTCCTAAGTGAAAGTTGTATAAACCAGAGCATTAATTGTGGTTTTAACTCTTTATTGTCAGAACATATCATGACAAACACTTGCCAAACAGGTGAACATTTCACAAATCTGAGGTAGAACAGTCAAACATTTGTCATTTTGCCTTAACAAAATAAATATCTGAATAGAAAAATATTTCTTCAGCACAGTTTGCAGTGCAGGCTGCAATTTCAAAGTACATGTTTTGTCTCGAAATGCATATTTGACAGTGAGTTGACAGTAAATCTGCATCCTAACTCAAGCTAATACTACTCTGTTCAATTTATGTTCATTAACAAAAACAGTAACATCTGTTTCAAAAAAAAAAAAACATTAACGACCACATTTTTATTTGGTAAAATGTAATATTCTGACTGTTTGAGTTTTATTAAAATGAACCATTGGTTATCCAGTATCATGCATTTAGATCATGATAACCACAGATAAAACCAGGCATAGCCTAACTTATAGCACCTTACTATCATGGCAAAATGTAACTTTATGGTTTCTATGGTATTTGTATGACAAAAGTAGCCTAAATACATTATTAAATACTGTAATTATATTCCATTAGTCATTTAAAACATTGTCTACATTAATAATATAATACAATTCAGTATGTATATCCCACATTTCATGGTGCAGTTAATATTACTAGGCTAACCTTACAGTTAATCCATGGTAAATGGATTCAGTATCAGTTCATATTCTGACTGTATCACAGTGTTTCTCCTGTTCGTCAGCGCGGTTTCATCTGCCTTTAAACTGGTTTAAATCACTGAGACGTTTGTGTTCTTCGCTGAATTCAAGCGCTTCTCACTGGATCTCGTGAGCGAGGCGATCAGAGTAAACGCGTCTGCTCTAGTGAGCTCGCGCTGCCGTTTGGACTTTGATCCGAGCGGATAAACAGTCCGTGAGGCGCGCGGTTCAAATGAGTTTCGTTCCGCTTTTGGCGCATACACATTATCGAACATTTATCGACCTCTTGATATCGTTTTATCGAGAAAAATTATATCGCGATAATTATCGTTATCGTTTTATCGCCCAGCCCTACTTCACTATATTTTTTAATACCATCACGACTTCAAGATGCAACTGTAGTGGCGTATATAGAGACAAGTAAAGTAATGAAATATCTTCGAAAACTTGCATTTCCCCATAATGTCCAGGGTTTTTTCCTTGGTCAAAATTGGTCTTCGGTGGTGGCCGATAGACACTTATCCTTTCTTGCCCTTTTTTAAAAAAAATACTTCTTTGCTGGACGTGATAATTGTTTTGGTATAATCATATCAATATCAAAAAGTAGAATAAAAACGGAGCATTAAAAAGTTTATTTTAAAAGTTTATTGAAGTCTAATTTTCTACCATATACTGTAAAATTTAATAGAATTAGCTGCCAGATACTTTTTTTTTTTTAAATTAAATAACAAAAATTGCTGCTAGATAACAACTTCCTTTGCACTTTTTTTCTGGTTTCACCTCACTCCAGTCTAAACTAATTTTTTTTTTTTTTGCAATGTTTCTACACATTATAACATAAATAACCTGAAAATACTACGTAGTTTACAACATACATGAATTGTTTGTTCATATTACTTCACAGTGCATTAACTAATGTTAACAAATACAACTTTTAATTTCAATAATGTAGGCTATATGGTGAAATTGACATTAAGAAAGATTAATTAATGATGTAGACGTGCAGTTTATTAATAGTTCATGTTAACTAATGTAGTTAACTAGATTTTAATAAATGGAACCATATTGTGTTACCGATTCAGAAGTCCCGTGAGGACAGATCCGTTGTGTTAACCATTCATTAAAGTGACGCGTCATTAGCGGACGTGTACGCATTGTGTGGTTATCCCATCAGTTAGGACATCGCACAAAATTTGTGTCAACAAATAGGTTTTTTTAGGATAGATTTTTCCTTTATTGAAAGTGTGGTTATGTCAGCTGAATGTGGCACACGCCGTGAGAGAAGATAAGGCAACGTTTTTTTAGAACAATTCACACACAGCGGGAAATAAATTTCCAATTGCGCCACGTGAAACTTCGGTCTTCCGACCTTTTACCATCGTGTCTGTCAATTGATTTTGATTAATATGAGCGAGGGAGAGAGAGCAAGAGTGAATTGAGTGCGCGCGCGCAGCCGGGGCTCTCTCTCTGTTCCTTCTTTCAGTTAACATGCACCCTGTCACAAGCGTAGCAGTCAGTCGTCTACATTAGGCTACTCACCGATCAAATATGGCTTTGGCGGCCGACTGATGACTGAAATAGAAGCGAACTCGCGAACAGGTTGGGCAGCAAGCCAGGCCAGCCGGGTACCCAGTTTGTTTCAGCGCGCGAACGAACAAACACCACGTCACATTATATCGCACAGGTCCTACTCGCAACATATAAATAAATCCACGCGAATTTTAGAACAAAGTCCTGCACTTAACACAAATTGAAACTCATAGGCCTAGTTGGATGGGGGTTCGAAAATTTACTACTTCGTCAGATGACGTTTACTACTTTTTACTACTTTTTACTGGCCTTAATTTGGCATAATTTAATTTACTACCTTTTACTACCTTTTACAACCCCGCGGAAACCCTGTATAAATGGACATGTACATACGGATAGAGAGATAGACGCGCACACACACACACACACACAGACACACACACAGATATATGTATATAATGTTGTGTTTTTGTTACTTTTTATTGTTGTTTCTGTTGTTTGTTTCTGTTCTCTTGGTAATGGTGATGTATGTAGCCTAACCAGGGACAGGGGTTGCAAATTAGCTTCAGCTAGAAACCCTATATGCAACACATCTGTTCAAGTTACTGTAACCTGTTACAATGTGTCTCTTTTGCATTGTCCCTGACAAATAAACAAATAAATAAAAAATTACCATAATGTTTGCATAATGATAAAATGAAATGTTCCCTATAATGAAGAAAAACGTTTTAAACAACTGGACATTTTGAACGATCAGAGAACATTCAGAAATAATGTTTTCATAACTTAGCAAAACATTTTTACAACATATTTTTGTTAGTTGGGTTGCTCCAACCCAAGCTATTTTAATGCAGTCAACTTCCCAACTCGTAAAAATTAAATTCCCAGTAGGACTTGAATAATCAAATATTGAGTTAAATACCCATAAACAGTTTTATTGAAATGATTTGTTCATATAGACATTTTTTCATTCTTTTAGATTGAATTGGGACAATAAACTCGAATGGAACCTTTGCAAAATTTCAAATGTCCTTGACTCTGGTACAGAATTAGTTGTACCAGGCTGACTTGTAAACAAGGTTTTGCTAACATAGCCTATTGATTATGTGACGTCTGAAGTTAGGATCCATGCTCTTTGGATTTGAATTGTGGGTCAGACTGTATATTGACTGATGACACAACAGTGCTACTGATTCACAAACTCTAAAACTCATATGTTAGTATTAGTAATGCTGCATTTGCCCTTTTGTCACTGCCTGCATGAACAGAATATTGCCTAGATCTGATTCCTAGCTCATCCAATCAGTAACTATCATGTGTAAAAAGTATCTGATGATCTGGAAATTCTTTATTTGCTGTCACAGAAAGCTGTTGAATGAATCTATCAAGCCTCCGGATGTCTCCTCTGGTGCTCTGAGATTTTTGTTGGTTTAATATAGTTGTGGTTGTGTTGACAGCCTACCACTCACATACGTTTGTCATTTAATGTGGTTTGAAAATTATTACATGTAACTGCTGAGGATGCAAATGTAGAAAAGAAGAGCCACAAGAGACCCAGATGAAAAAAAAAACAAAAAAACAATGAATGCAGTCTATGATCTGGCATATTCTAGTCTACTGGGACTGTACAGCATCACTCAACCAAACACCTGAATCAGCTGTTTGAAATGCCAACTTCACCGCATACATGGATTTGTGCTGCAAATGTTAAAATACTATTGAAATAGTCAATATTATTTTGTCTAAATATATGAAAAATAAAACACTAATAACTAGATTCAATCATTTAAATTCTACAAGTGAATTAAGGCAACATTTTAATGTTAAAATTAATAAAATCCATTTTGAGATTTTCTAAAGATTTAAGATTGCATTTACTTTTTAATGAAAACTTTAAGTAAGTTAGAGAAATGCACAGCACTTTTTCATCCCATTTAGTGCCTGCTTAAACTGGATTGTGTGTGGCTAGTGAATAAGACCACAGACAAAACCGTTTACGAAGTTCTAAAAAACGAACATTAGAGGATTAATAGTTATGAAAGGATTTATGTCTATTAAAAGCCGTAGCTGACTGGTTTAAATAACTGAAAAGGGGTTTTAGATTTAATCCCATTGTCTAATCCTATCATGCAATTAATGATTGCTTATCAGGCTTATTGTGTTCATTGAAATACAATGAATCTGAACCCCAATGAACCCACCACCCCTGAAAGGAGCTAACAAAAATGAAAACATATACTCCAGTTTTGTACATCTAAAAATCAAATTCAAATGTGTTTAAAAGACTCTAAGGTTTCCTACCTTGTCTTGGTGCTGTATTCTCTCTTCTTCTAATGTTTTGGTCGCATTGGCCAAATCTTCCAAAGCTTTGAGCAGTTGAATGCTGGGATCTACCTGTTGCAGCAGAATCATGCTCTGTCTGTTTGCTTCTTTTTGCTTCACCACCATCTACAGGAGAAAATAAACATGAGGAAACAACTATTTCAGATGGTTTTCTTCAACAACTAAAGGAAATGAAACATTTCACCGTGATGCAGGCAGCCATACACAATTCAAACTCTACAGTCAATATATACAACTATCTTGTCTTTTGGTAGGATTTTGAGGTCACCAGAGCAGGGACTGAAGTTGTCCTGTCACCCGTGTACTGATGAAGTGAATTAGATGTGTTTTGTCCCATACCTCATGTGCATAGGTCTCTGCTTTGTGCCTGAGGCTCTGCTCCAAATCCAGATGCTCCTTCATGTTTTCATACTCTTGAGTGGCCATCATAGACACTAAAGAGATAAACAATGATAATAAAGCAATAGGCTTGGCAAAAATCCCTGTAAGGCTTTTTTCAGGTATAACGCAAATAAATATCATAAAAGACACATTATGAAAGGCTTAGACTATTGTATGAACAGTATGTATTTTGCTTACACTTCTATGGCCAACTTTCCTAACCAAAAATAAAAAATCTAATCATATTTCAAGCAATTCAAAACCATAATGGCGAACAGTGCGCATCTGAAGTGTCTCAGCTGAAGGATATAATACATTACTTATCGGCTTTAAGATATATGCCAAATCTTTTTATCCGACCGATAATGATAATATTAAAAATTAACATATAGCGGCTGACATCAATATGGTCGGTGGCCGATATATCGTGCATCCCTAGTAAGGCACATATTATAATAGACACAGTATTACAGGCATAGATTATTCGATGGATAGTACGGATGGGAATCGGAAGGAATTTACTGGTTCCGATTTTACATTAATGATTCTTTTAGTTACTGGTATACAGTCAATAAAAACAAAAGTGTTGCTTTATGTCAGCATTCGCTACTGTTCAAACGTTTGATCAATTGTTACAGGAAAGACATTTCAAATGTTTAAAGATTTCTACTTCAAATAAATGCTGTTCTTTTGAACTTTCTATTCAATCCCGAAAAAAAATGTATCCCAGTTTCCACCCAAATATTAGGCAGCACATATTTGGTGAGCATTAAAGACTTCTTTAAAAATGTACCGACCCCAAACTTTAGAACGGTAGAAACTTATTTGAGGTTTTTGAGCATTTTAGGCATTTTCATTAAAAAAGAACCAGTTCATAATAGTAATTTACTTGTGGAAACATATTTTGATTGTATTGTCTCTTTACTGTCATGGTATTCTTTGCAAATGGAAATGGTTCAAAATAAGAACCGATTCTCAGTTTCCAGCCCTAATGAACAGTGACACATTCATGTATTATTCAACCGATATTCAATCACATGTGCACGTATATCAGCAATTTTACAATGTGGCTCCTTCAATTAGATTTCATAGGCAAAACTGTTAGTTTTAAAAATAAACACGTTAAACCCACTAAGTCAGTCAAGTAAGTCTGTATATAAGTCAGTATATGACATGAGCACTGCTGTTTCCAATATTCCAGTCAGAGTAATAACACATATGAGCAAAGAGGGAGCTGAGAGGATGTCAAAACAAAGTGCATCACCCCCAGCTGGAACAGAGGGACTTCCTGTGGTGAATCTTTTACAGATAATTTGATCAAGGACTTTGACGTGCGGCCGGTAGTGAGTGGGCTGGTGGGGAACATTAATCTTCTTGGAAGGCACATGCACAGATGCACTGCAGGCCATTTAAGATGATGTCATGCACATGAATTTGAATACAAGTGAGGAAATGAAGAGGCTCTGTATTCACAAAGTCCATACTCACCCCTGTTGAACCTCTTAATGGTCTTGCTTTGCTGCTCAATGGTTTTATAAAGCTCCTTCATCTCAGCCTGCTCCTTTTCAGTCTGCAAATCAGCATAAGGCACATATTTGAGAAACTATCAGCAAAGAAACTCAATTAGACACTGTTACTCTGATATCCTTTTAGGATCAGCCATACCGCAGGCTTCATTTCAAGATCATTTATTATTTATGAACAGTTTAAAATACTGGAAGACACTTTGCAGACCAGGCCCCCATCCACTGCCGTCAAGCCTAACTGAGCTCGGCCTTTCATTCAGAGTAAAAAGTAAAAGAGTTGCTTTGCTACTCACAAGTGCTGTCAACTCCTCTATCTTCCTTTGCTGTTCTTGAAGCTGACAGGCCAACTGCTTCTTCTCCTCCAGCATAGAACTCACAGTTTCTTGGAGATCTGTGGAAAAATGAGAATTTGGAATGGACATTTATTATGACAGATTCCTTGGCGAAGGAAATTGTACACAGGCGTATTTATAAACTGCCACCCATTTTAATACACTGCTATGATACACTGGTTCTGTGCTATTTACCTTTGACCTGCAGCTTATACTGAGAAAAGGGGTCAGAGCTGGGATCTTGTTGTTCAGTCTCCTCTTCTAGGGAAATGCAATCAGAAATACTGGGCAGCAGCTCATCCAGACACGGCCGTGACGAAAGGCTCAAATACTTCAGCTTCCTGTTCTCACAGTTCAACTAAAAGTGATCAAAACAGAATGATTTAAGACCATAAATGATCAGAAAAGTTTGAACATTTTGACTTTTGCCATAGCTCTTCTTGGCACATTCGACAAAAGTAGTCTAAATCATTCATTAGTGAATCAGACTGATCCGATTCTTAAGTTCAAACTCACGACCAACACATTCTTCTGAATTTCTTCTTTTATGTTCACCAATTATAATCATGTTGACTCCAGCATTTGTTTTTATGCTTATATTGCTTTCTAGTAGAGATTGAAAATGTCAACAAACAGAAATAACTAGACAAATTCATTACGGCCTCGAGATACTTCAAGTTAAATTACAGAACGAACTGGTGTGATGTCATTTTGAATAAAATCAGTTTGTTTCTTGAGTTAGAAACAGCTTGCCAAATCAAACTTTACGGAAATGTTCGCCTAGCTGTTAAACGCCTTTAAACTTCCTGGTCAGTGGCGATACATAAATGTGCTCTGAGGCTCCGCCTTCTTTGAGGAAATCTTCTCCAGTTCATTTCTTCTGTTCAGTCCATCAGAGTCAGACACGAGTAAAAACATGAACACACTGGAGAGCTACTTTGTATTGAACTGAAGTTGTAGTTTTAATGCACTTTTTGTGTTCAATAATGTAAAGCTGATTGATTTAAAGCAGTCTATTCTATAAAGGGCTATATAAAAAACTGTGACATGAATTGAATGGAGTGCCGAATTAAAAAGCTTGTGCAAACATATCCAGATCGCTATGATCAGATGCTTTCATAACTACTGTTCCCTTTCAAGGGAACTTCGAGCTGCGTTTGAGACGCGGTGGGAACGCTCTGCGTGATTGCGTCATGAAGCACGTGTAAAATCAGTCCAATGGAAGCCCGATACGTCATGGGTGACGTCATAGACCAGGAAACTATAAAGCACCCTTGAAAACAGACCGCGACAGCTTCTGTTGTCTTCAGCAAGCGCTCTCTGTGATTCTGTCCTTGTCTATTTATTGTTGTTTGTCAAGCCCAATATATATATCACTATCTATCATTATGGCGAGCAAAGCAATATTATAGACGTTGTGTTGTTCCCTGCCCTCGTTACATCACGGGTGGGGACACACATCAGCTTTTTGTTGCTGTTTGGGAGTGGAGCATGCAACAGTCATTTCTCGAGGGATCTGACTGTGCATTGCGAGAAGCTGTCCGGGAGGACGCTCCGCTCCCGCCGGGCGTTCTTCGAGGAGGACGGTTCGGTTCGCGTTCCCCGAGCGGGTCTCTCTGTTGCCGAGGCTCGGAGACGGCTCGTATTTCGGGGTTCGAAAACGGATCTGACAGCGGGGGTTGGGACGGGCTCCGCCCTTTCTCAGCTTTCACATGCCAGATCTAGTGTGCTACGATTTCCAGTTCCGAGGAATTGGTATCGTTAGTGTTTTGTTTAAAAAGAAAGAGAACAAAACAAATACAAATCTTTATAAAAAGGCAGATGTTTGAGTTTTCAATGAATAAATTTTCCAGCTCATAACTCTGTTGAATAAAGAGGAGCTTTTTTAAAGAAAAAAGGAGGTTTTATCTAGTGCTGTTGCCAGTTAAATATTTACTGGCCAGCTGAACATTATGAGATTGAAAATAAAGAAGAGTTTGTTAGATGAACTGTATCTTAAAACAGGAAAACTCTGTATCTCAGCCTCCTCGTCGGGGACTGTGGTTTTTCCCTATCTCCACACTGAGGTGTCGAGATCGTGGAATAAACCGGTTTGTATTTTATGTGTTTAATCCCCAGATGTCTGACTATAGTAATGTTTGGGTATTAAGTATCATAGTATGACATTGCCTCGGGTTAAAGAGACGCTTGCGAGCTTTCTCTCTCCCGAGTCGGCGTTATCGTTATTAACCCCGACGTTACCCACCAGCCATCTTAATAATGAATACATTTTTATTAGGCAGCGCTGGTGGGTAGAGTATATAAGGACATGGATGAATGTGAGGGGCGACTGTCTGAGGAGGGTCGCAGCGCTGCCAGTTCGGTTGTTTCCTGCTGGTGGCCGCAGAGTGATATATATGTATATATATATATACGTTTTTTCTGATATAAAGATAAAGGAAAATAAAGATATAATTATGTCTGTTCTTCTGGACGCTCCGCTTTCAAGAAAACTAAGAAATAAACCATTCAGCGGCGTTCCAGAGGTTTCTTCCTCACCAATCTAATGTTCCTGAGATGGCCTATTAAGCTCCTCTCAGCACAAAGTGCAAAACAGAGCGTCGCCATTCGGGCTCCTCCGCAATTGAGGGGTACCTGGGTGGCGGTCGCAGTCTAGCCAGTTAGAGACATGCAAGATCTGAGGACTGTTTTATCTCTAAAATAGCTTTGACAAAGAAGAAGCCCTGACGCCGAGGCGATCAGGCTTCTAAGGGTGGTCCCCTCTGGGGTAGGGACGGTTTTGAGAAATCGTTTCTCCTCAGCGCCCTTTGGGGTGCGACTCTCTGAGGAGGGTCGCAGTACTGCCAGTTCGGTTTCCCTACCGGTTCGCCGTTTCAGGGCACCAAGGTGTCAGTGTCCCCAAACGAGCCTTCAAATAAGAAAAAAGAAGAGCAGTCAGTTCGGTTCCCCTGCCGGTTCGCCGTTTCAGGGCGCCGAAGTGCCTGCTTTTTTCAACGATCCTCCGAGGAGGGTCGTAGGAACTAAGCTAGTTAGAGGTAGGCAAGATCTGAGGACTGTCATCATCTCTAATAAAGCTTAGACAAGAAGTCCTGTCGCAAGAAAACGAGGCTATCAGGCTTCTGAGGGCTCCTCCGGGGCAGGGACGGTTTTGAGAAATCGTTTCTCCTCGGCGACCTCTGGGGTGCGACTCTCTGAGGAGGGTCGCAGCGCTGCCAGTTCGGTTGTTCCCTGCCGGTTCGCCGTTCAGGGCACCGAGGTGTCAGCGTCCCCATACGATCCTCCGAGGAGGGTCGTAGAATGGTCAGTTCGGTTGTTCCCTGCCGGTTCGCCGCTTCAGGGCGCCGTAGTGACTGTTCAACCAAGGGACTGTTTTGAGAAATCGTTTTTCCTCTGGGGTGCAACTCTCTGAGGAGGGTTGCAGCGCTGCCAGTTCGGTTGTTCCCTGCCGGTTCGCCGTTCAGGGCACCGAGGTGTCAGCATCCCCATACGATCCTCCGAGGAGGGTCGTAGAATGGTCAGTTCGGTTGTTCCCTGCCGGTTCGCCGCTTCAGGGCGCAGTAGTGACTGTTCAAACAAATCCAGAGGCCAGTCTTGAGAGACTGGTTCCCCTAGTAAATTTCTGGCAGCGTGGAAACTACTGCCACATATTTCTCAGTGGGTCCTGCACACTATAGAAAAGGGTTTCAGAATTCAGTTCGGTTCTCGTTCGCCCAGATTTCTAGGGGTCCTCCTCTCATTGGTGGACCCCGAGCAGGCTTTGGTTATGGAGCAGGAAGTACTGTCACTTCTGCAAAAGGAGCTGTAGAAGGGGTTCCTCCTCCCAGCAGACAGCCATTACTTCATTGTTTCCGAAAGAGGATGAGGGGGGTTCCCGAGGTTTGCTTTCGGGGGCGAAGCATACCATTATCGGGTTCTTCCATTCGGCCTAGGTTTATTACCCCACACCTTTACAGTATGCGTGGGTGCAGCTCTGGCTCTTCTGAGACTCCAGGGCATTCGCGTATTATACTACATCAATGATTGGTTGTTCCTAGCTCAATCTGAGTTTATGGCAGTTCGGCATCGAGATGTCGTTCTGTCTCTTTAAGGATGTTGGGGTTGCCTCTCAACGCCAAGAAGAGTGTGCTCTGAGGACCACTTTTCTAGGTGTAGCAATTCTTACAGCCGTAATGGGGTATATCTAGGCCAGTCACTCACTGTGAAACAGTTTCAGACGGGTGGGTCTCATGGCAGTTGCGTCCAACGTATTACTTTTGGCCTTCTGTTCATGAGACCCCTGCAGTGGTGGCTCAGGACCAAGGGGTTTTCTCCGAGGGGAAATACGTTTTCGCATGATCAAGGTCACGCGGCTATGCCTTCGTGCTTCGGTCATGTGGAAGAACCTTGGTTCCTCGCCCAGGCCCAGTGTTGGGGGCTTTTTGTCGACGCATATTGCTATCGACGGATGCTTCCCTCACAAGTGGGGGCGATCATGAGTGGTCGCTCGGCGAATGGCGGACAACACACTGATGGTCTCGTATATCAGCGCAGATATCCTGTTGAGGCAGGGGCTGAGGCCCAGGGGATTGGAGACTTCACCCCGAGGTGGTGGAGCTTCTTAGGGAGAACTTTGGTCTAACTAAAGTCAAGTCGACCTTTCACATCGTTTGTACAACGCATTGCTCTATATGGTTCCCCCTCACGCAGCCAGCTCTTCTCGGACTGGATGCGATGGTGCAGGTGTGGCCGAGGCTGCACCTGTACGCATTTCCCCCGATATCTATGCTCCCGGAGGTTCTGGAGAGGGTTCGCCGGGAAGGGGCTCATCTGCTACTAGTAGCCCCATACTGGCCGACTCGAGTTTGGTTCTCGGACTTTGTCTCTTCTGGACGGCTCTCCCATGGAGATTCCGTTCAGGAGGGACCTGCTGTCCCAGGCAGGGGGCACGATATTTCACCCTCGACCGGAGTTGTGGAAACTGTGGGCCTGGCCTCTGAGGGGGCCAGGCTCATAGAATCCAGTCTCTCTACTGAGGTCGTTGAGAGATTCTCCATTCCAGAGCTCCTTCCACGAGAAGACTGTATGCACTGAAATGGAAATTATTCTCCACCTGGTGTGGTGAGCGTCAGTTAGATCCTGTTAACTGCCCTGTTGGTTCAGTTCTCGATTTTCTGCAAGACCGTTTCTCTGCTGGATTATCTCCTTCCACCTTAAAAGTTTATGTGGCGGCTATTTCGGCCTATCATACCCCTCTGGGGGGTACTTCTATTGGGAGAGATCCTCTGATTATTCGTTTTCTCCGTGGTACATTGAGGTTGAGACCTGCACTGCACTCTAGAGCACCGGCTTGGGATTTAGCCATTGTACTTGAGGGTCTGGCTCTGGCTCCCTTCGATCTTATTGAAGAGGTTTCAGAAAAATTCCTCACTTTGAAAGCTTTATTTCTCCTTGCTATTTCATCTATCAAGAGAATTGGAGATTTGCATGCCCTGTCGGTTGCTCCGTCATGTCTGGAATTTGCACCTGGTATGGTGAAAGCATTTCTATACCCTAGACCGGGTTATATTCCTAAGGTCCCAGTTAATGTTGGGGGCCCAATAGTGTTGCAGGCCTTTTATCCTCCACCTTTTAATACCCCAGATCAGGAACAACTGAACCTGTTATGTCCAGTTCGGGCATTGGATGCCTACGTTCACAGAGCTGCCCTGTGGCGTAAGTCAGAGCAGTTATTTGTATGTTTTGGGTCACTCAGAAAAGGGTGCCCTGCATCTAAACAGGTTATGAGCAAATGGATAGTCGAGGCTATATCATTGGCTTATGAAGCGGCCGGTCAGCCTTCACCTATGGCTGTACGGGCCCATTCTACAAGGAGTATGGCGGCCTCTACGGCCTTCATTTCGGGTGTTTCCCTTCTTGACATTTGTAATGCGGCAGGTTGGTCCTCTCCACATACATTTGTCAGGTTTTATGACCTTGACCTCTCCACTCCTGGGGCGAGGTTGCTTGCTTCTTAGTGTGCGCAAGGACTTCACACAGAACGGGCATTTGTCACTATGGCGTAGTGGGTATGGGGTTCCCACCGCGTCTCAAACGCAGCTCGAAGTTCCCTTGAAAGGGAACGTCTCAGGTTACGTATGTAACCCAGGTTCCCTGAGAGGGAACGAGACGCTGCGTTTGCCTGCCATACTTCCTGCATGCCCTGATAGACTTGCTTCAGACTTTTTCAGAAGCTGTCGCGGTCTGTTTTCAAGGGTGCTTTATAGTTTCCTGGTCTATGACGTCACCCATGACGTATCGGGCTTCCATTGGACTGATTTTACACGTGCTTCATGACGCAATCACGCAGAGCGTTCCCACCGCGTCTCAAACGCAGCGTCTCGTTCCCTCTCAGGGAACCAGGGTTACATACGTAACCTGAGACGTTTTCTCACCACTGTCATTTTTTGTTGAGTGTTTATTTTGTTATTGAGTGGAAAGCATGTGGCATATGTTTACATATTCATATAAACGTAGCTCTCAGCAGCCTGGGTGGCGTTGTGATGTTTGCTAACAGTTTACCGCTGAAAAGGTATTTCAAAATTCTTTTTTCATTTTATCACTACGGGAAGAGCGTAAAAGAACTTCGCTGTGAGTATCTCAGGGCTTTTAAGGTTCCCTTTCGAGGAAACTCGAACTGCGTTGAATGACACTTTGGGGAACGCCCCTCAGCGTAGCGCCTCTGAAGCATGAATGAAACTAGACCAATCCTGATTGGTGTTGCGTCATGACGTAATGTGTGACGGCATAAGCGGAAGCTACAAAGAGACGCCGGCACACAACAGTGTTAGCTTTCTGTTCTTTAGAAAGCGCTCTCTGTTTGACATTGTCTGTCCTATTTGGTGTTGTTTGTCACAAGCATTTTATCAAGAGTATGGTGAGTGCAAGTTTCACTCGATGTGTGCACCCCTGCCCTCGCTACATCACGGGTGGGGACACACATCGTTTGTGTACACACTGTTTGGGAGTGCAGCATGCGTGAGCAGCTCTCGAGGTAGTCTCAGCCTCAGACGTCACGCCCACATAACGTTGGCTAAACGTCTGATGCATTATGGTACACTTAACTGGAAACACTTCAGGAATGTTGAAGTCGTCATCTGATTGGATGAATTTTATCGGATTTCCGGGGGGTGCGAGTGTTGCGTTTATTTTCGGTCCGCCGGGAAACAAAGCGCAGACGTGTGATTGCGGAAGAAAAACTGTTGTGTTTACATGAGTGACAATGAGCATTTATCAAGATCAGCTAAACGTAGGATTCTCAAAAGTATGCGAGGTTCATGGCATAGACTCTTTAAGAGATGTCCAGGAGTTTTGTTTGAGGCACTTAGTGGAGACAAAAAGAGATATTTTAGCCTGTTTGCCGACGGGATTTGGGAAGAGTATTATTTTCCAAGCCTGGCCGACCCTTTGTCAGCATTTAGAAGGATTCCCAGCAGATCCAATTTTACTAGTTGTGTGTCCCCTCCTATCTATTATGGAAGATCAAGTGAAGTACCTAACTGCGAAGGGGATATCAGCCGCGTTTGCGGGCAAACATGAAACAACAGACGCTGACATCGCAGCTGGCCGATTCAGTATTGTGTTCGGTTTTCTTCTCCTTCTTTGATTTTCTATGCTGACTGACTTGTTGCACGCCGGTCTGTTGTTGTGGGGACATTTCCACGCCCCGAAACGGGACGCTGAATGAAACGAACTGTAATTGGTTGTTTGACATGTCGGTCAAACGGCCTTATGGGCGGGCCTTGGCCAAAGAAAGCTGCAAAGAATTCCAGACCTTCAGCCGTCAGTCTGAAGGTCTGGCTACGCGAGACTACTCTCGAGGGGGCTGCTTGCGAGGATTGTGAAAGGCTTACGATCCATGTGCTGCGCTCCACCTGGCCATTTTCAATGAGGATGGTCAGGCTCGCGAGCCCCGTGGTACGGGACCCGCGTCTGCTGAGGCGGCGCGGCAACGCTCTTCATGGGGCTCGCAGATGGATCTGACAGGGGATCCCGAGACTGCTGAGGCACGAGTGGAGGACCCGATGCTTGAGCTGTCTGCTTCCGAGGAAGTAGACGTGTGCTCAGCATCGAGGGCGGAGATTTTGGGGATGACTCGCCACCCCATATCCCCGCATATGAGGCGCTGGTAGAGGTTGTCTCTCGTGCTGTGGACCGTCTCAATATCAGTTGGCCACATGAGAGGCAGGAAGCGCTCGTGAAAAGCAAATTAGACGAGCGCTTCCTGCAGCACAGAGAGCAACGTCAGCATCGGGGCTTGCCTTTCTTTCCCTCTGTAGCTTCCGCTTATGCCGTCACACAGTACGTCATGACGCAACACCAATCAGGATTGGTCTAGTTTCATTCATGCTTCAGAGGCGCTTCGCTGAGGGGCGTTTCCCAAAGTGTCATTCGACGCAGTTCTCGTTCCCTTTCTCAGGCAACAAGGGTTACAGACGTAACCCGAGACGTGTTCTGACGAAACAGAAGAATAGTATTGTTGGATAAACACCTTGGTAGCCAGAGCCTCTGCATTTTCCCGGCAAGATTTCTCAATCTCAAGCTGGGTCTGTAGTACGTTCACCTCCTCGATCACCATTTGGGAAACTGTGCAAAGAAAGGAAATGCATTTATGAGTAAATGAAAGCACAGCAGGTCATATTTACAGTCCAATCCATCATCCAGGAACTGTGTTTCGATGCTCTATAGAAGTAACTTTATAGAAATACAGTCCTGTATGACAGATGCACATTTTAGATATAAGCATCAGCTAGGAAGCTATATAAGCCTGTTCTCATGGCAATAAAAGTAGGAGTATAGTCATGTTTTCATCTATATTCTTTACAGTATTTCTTGAAGTGAACATCACACTATCTTCTACACAGTTCATGAGGGGTGTTTTAAATCCGGATGCACAGAAATGATCCACAAATGCTACCTTTTTTAAATAACATATTCTAAATGAGGAAACAGCAACAGAAATAGCAACTGTAAGTTACGTTTTCATTAAGATGTGTTTTTTTTTTTTTAATCAGTGACACATTACCGGAGTCTAATGAGATAGACAGTTATCAGTTACATGCTTACAATGGGGACCATTTCCCAACACTTTGGGTACCATTGATGGACTGTAACTCTATACACTACACTGGCCTCTCAAATAGAGGATTGGATGTCATAGCAAATGTCAGAGCAGCTCACATCAAAGAGGCTCCTAAACAAGACGTTTGTCTTTAGTGCATTGCACTATTTCTAAAATACATTAAAGTGGCATCTAAAAAAACTAAATTTTCAGCAGTTCTTTAAAATGGTAAATTGAAAATTAATGATCTTTTTAAATCAAATATAACAATAATATATGTGCACGGTCAAAATAAAATGGTAAATGCATCGTTTGTGCCTGTGCATTTCACAGGAAATGATCAAGAGAGGGAGTTTATTATACATTATTCCATGAAAGGCTGTTGAATTATGCAGGAACGATGCGTCTCTCAACATGCAGTCACAGCAAAGTACATCACCAGCCTGCCCTGGAGCCCTTTCTCGGAATAAACATTTCGCCTAATTTTCTTTTTATGTGGTAAAACTGTAAATTGTGAGAATGGAAAGCGGGACGTTATCAATGCTTGTCCACTTTGACCCCTTATTTAGAGATTGATGCATGAAACTGATCCTGATATCACATAAAAAAAATGCAATAATAAAAAACAGTCCTTCAATTGAATCCAATCGCATTATTTTGTATTTAATAATATTTACCATTAAAACATTTGGTTTTATAATATATCAATTCACATTATCCTATTGATTAATCAAACGAGCAGGATTAAGACACCTGTTTCTTCATTCCTGTTAAATATGCAGGATGGGCATCAGTGCGGCAGCGAGCAGCTCTGCAGAGCCAGTGAGAGAATGACCTGGCAGGGACGTGTGAAGTTCGCAGCTTTAACATCTTTACACAGCTTTAATCAGAGCACTTGCTTAAAGGGGTCATAATGGTACATGCACTTTTACAAGTTGATTGTACTGAAATGTGTGTTGGCAGTGCCTGTACACAACCATCATATAATGATAAAAATCCATCCAGTGTTTTTTTTATTTTTTTATCTCCTTATATGTTTTCCCCTGTCTCAAATTGAGCCGTTCGACCGTGTGACGTCACACGGTCGGACGCCCATCCCAAGATTGTTGATTGACAGCAGCGTTTCAACACAGACCCGCCCTGAGCGAGCTGTCATCATAGTCCGTCATTGTTGATACGCTGGAGCATAATGGCGTCTAAGCGATTGTGGTGTTCTGTTCTTGGGTGTAATAACAACCACAGAGGTCATTTTAATGTTCCTAAATCCGAACCGCTGAAGACACAGTGGCTGAGTTTTGTTTTCGAAGGGAATATTCCCCACGAGCAACATCAATGCTTTCATGTTTGCGCGAATCATTTCTCACCAGACTGCTTTATAAACGAGGGTCAGTATGAGCTGGTTTTGCTAAGAAGCTGCTCATGAAAAAAGAATCGGTACCAACTATTCGTGTTCCTGCTGCACCTTCAGAAGAAGTGAGTGTAAAATTTTATTAACCTTTATATTAATCTTTGCAAATCGCTTGCACGCTTCACGATGAATGCGGCTAAGGTTTACACTCAGGGACATTACGGCATGTTTCCTATGTACGACGTTCTCAATATAATTAATAATCCCACGTTTATAATGAACAACACGTTATGGTTATTACAAACTGTGTACGCAGATGTTAAAGTTAACGTGGTAACACTACACTTTACTTTTGTAGATGGTTTATAACGGTGTCTGTTACTGATTAAGAAGTAATGTCAAAAAATCTAACTGATACGGTTGCACAGATGTGTCCTCAGAGACTCCCGCTGCCATTCTTTCTCCAAAATATACCCTCAACTGTTGTCAAGGCAACACTCCACGTGTGTTGTGTCAAAACACCCCACAGAACAGAGGGCGGGGTTAGAAAAGCTCATTATCATTTAAAGACACATGCACTTAAATGGCGTGCTGAAAACAGAGCTGTTTTTGACCAGGTAAAATTAGTGTTTTCTTACAATACTAATGAGAATTTTTAATTAAAGTATATTACAAACTTTTCATTTAGACCCTAAAGAATCATATTAACTTGTATAAAAATGGCATTATATGACCCCTTTAAACCTAAAATCAAAATAGTATAGCAGGTATAATTCAGTATGGCAAAAGTCCATAAGAGAAATTTACATCAAAAGTCACAAAATCCATTCCATCCATTTTTTAGCTTACTGATTCATCACAGCCACTGATACAACACATAATGCTATTGTCTACTGTACATCATGCAATCAAATCTAGATAAAAGGTTTGTCGACATTTCTCAATAAAGATAAGGACATGAAGACGAATATATAATAGGCTAATTAGTTTTAAACCAAAATCACACCACTGAACACGGCAGAAACTGCTTGAAATTTCACGTCAACTAGCCAAATACTGTATAAATCACCAGATCTGACATTTGTAAGTTACAATAAAAGTAAAATGACCTCAATCTGGGCAGTATTGGGGAAAGTAATGCATTACAATATTGCGTTACTCCCTAAAAAAGTAACTAATTGAATTACTTAATTACTTTTTATGGAAAGTAATGTGTTGCATTACTTTTTCTCACTTGGGATGGGCTTGCTTGTTTTTTGGGGGGTTAAGTTGTATTTTTGCCAAATATAAAGGCCCTTTCACACCAAAAGTGAAATGAATAAGCCACAGGCTGAAGGAAATGCAAATTCACACCTGTACAGTAGAGGGCGCAGCTCAAACGGACCTTTCAGCCGTTCTGTATTGCAGAAGAATGGGACGCAAGAGAAGAAAGTTAAAAATTCTAACTTCAGCAATAAAAACAAAAAAAATGAAACAAATGGGATGTTTATCTAAAGCCATTTTTGATTATTAGTATGGTTGAATTGGATCATCACAGGTCAGCAGCAAAGACATTGGTTAATAAAGTGAGATTAAATACATAAAGTATACAGTATTTGTGTTATGTACTGTAAAATGATTGATTTAGCTTTAGCTTACCTCAAGGGCATCCAAGATGTAGGTGTCTTTGTTTCCGCAGTAGTTTCAATTTTGATATTTTTAAGTCAAACCGTTCTTGTCTGTCAGTCAAATAATGCAGGTCTATGGTAACTAAGTTCCTCAAAGAGCGTGCACAGAAAAGTCCAAATTAAACATGATTTAATGACTCGTAAATGTAAGTACACATTGATGGCCTAAGACACGAAACGATCGGTTTGTGTGAGAAAACGAACAGTATTTATATCGTTTTTACCTCTTGTAACCACAGCCACGTCCAAGTGATCTGAGGGCCGGAAGCGCCGGAAGTGATCTCTCTGAAAAAATTCAACGTTGTCTGTTGATATATCGAAATCGTCTTCCATTGCGATTTCCTGAATATCTAAATATGTTTAGATCTTCACAGTGAAAGGTAACACTTCCGAAATCTCTGTGTAAACAATGAGTGACGTACACTCGCGAGAGATCACTTCCAGCGCTTGCGCAGACCGAAATGCCCGCGCCCTCAGATCACTTGGACGTGGCTGTGGTTTCAAGAGGTAAAAACGATATAAATACTGTTCGTTTTCTCACACAAACCGCTCGTTTCGTGTCTTAGGCCATCAATGTGTACTTACATTTACGAGTCATTAAGTCATGTTTAATTTGGACTTCTCTGTGCATGCTCTTTGAGGTGGTGACCATAGACCTGCATTATATGACTGACAGACCAGACTAAAAATATCAAAATTGAAACTACTGCGGAAACAAAGACACCTACATCTTGGATGCCCTTGAGGTAAGCTAAAACATACCAAAAATGTATTTCAAAGCGAACTATCCCTTTAATACTTATTTGAAAATGTAACTCAGATATTTAGTTGTAAATTTAAAAGTAATGCATTTACTAGTTACTTGAAAAACTAATCTGATTACGTAACTCGTTTTACTTGTAATGTATTACCCCCAACACTGCATCTGGGTCATTCACTAATTCTGCATCTGACACTGAGTCAGTTTGCACGTGCGGCCCATGAAAATAAAGCAGGACAATAAAAGGGGTGTGGCTCTCTCTTTCCCTTGCAGATCAGTCCAAACTCATCTGCTCATCTCATTTGGCTTCCAATGATTGACCGAGAGAGCGCTGCTTCTGGGCTTTCTTCTTTGTGCAGATTCTAGGTCAGCAAGTCCACCACGCTTAATGCTGCATGAGCAAAATATGGCTCTGCGGAGTCAGCCCAACAGAGACGAAAGCTTAAAGTAATGCAGTAGCATCCTTAGCAGACAGGAAACAGCTGCTTCAAACAAGCATGTGTCTGCCACTTTAAGAAAATGTTAGAATGGCTTTAGACTGAAGCGCTTCCATTCCAATTTTGATCGCAGAAGCTCTTTTAATAAATCATAACAGTTCAGGTATAATCACCCAGCAATTTTGATTTCAACTCCAGGACTAATTTGCAACCTATAATCTACTTCAAACGCAGGGCGGGTGTGTAGACTGCATTAAAATGCTAACAGCATTAATTTTTATGTAAATATAGGCCTAAAGATTTCACTCTTTCCACACACAAACTGTAAGATATGTAAAGGGTAAAGGTAAATTAGCTGAGTAATGGGGCCTATAGCTTGACACACGGGCCTGTGTTTTAATTTGCATAAGTGCAGAGGGTATTCTTAATGAAGCGTCCCAAAGAGGAGGTGGGAGACAGCTGCTTTGCCAGACACAGATCCAGTACCTCCCAGATACTCAACAGCAGTTCCCCTGCAGCAGCCAATCATTAAATAGAACACAGACCAATCACATGCACTCTGCACAAGACTATTGTACTGTATGTCAGCAAGTAGGGCAAACTACTGTGACATTTGCTGTGTCATGTTTGTGCCATTTAGTGAGGTTATAAAATAAATGCACTACCAAAACAGAAAAATGAACGAGAGTGGTGCAAAAGTCTCATCAACATAACTCACAAGGTAACTGTGAAAATACCATGCATTTTGTGAACATTACATTTTACAAGATAATCATATTGAATATATTTCCACAAAATTGTATTCAAGGTGACATGCATTTCAGAAATGACATGAAAGCGCATGAGGGGTTTGGCATGAACTACAATGGAAGGTTGAAAGGAAGGTGCCTATTCATTTTCTACTGATAAATAATTCATAATTGGTGGATTTTTAATAATTTAGTGACATAACAAGACAGTGATGAGAGCTGAATTCAGCTGCTCTACGTTGCTTCCCAAGGGAAGGTCTGACAATTCCAGGACACCAATAAAGAAAGAGCAGCAAGAATAACCTAAAAGCAGAAGCCAAACTAGTCTAAAATAAAACTGGATTCATCTCAATATTCAGTTATGCACAACAACTAATATTCACAATGATTTACCAAATAGGCTTCCAGGTAAAATGACATACTGATATCCCACACTTTTAACTGTAGTAATTGCACAAAAAGTCTCTTCATACGGTTTTACCAATAAAACTCCAGCAAAAATAATTTATCCCCAAAGAATTAAAAAAAATGCTTTCTTTACAAGTTTCTACATAAATAACATGGCACTCGAGTTATGCGTTAAAAATACTCCTCAGTGCTGCACATATTCACTATATAAACATAAGTACAAAAGTTCAACATTAGGCCTTTTTATGAAAAAGCAAGTGAAACCCTGTCAAATGAAACCCTAATTTCAATCTTGCAGAGAAGAATGAACATTTTCTCACCTGAGAACAATTTCCAGATTCAGTTCCTGGCAGCCGCTAGAGTGTTGTCAGAGTGCTAACAAATTAGCTAGTAACTGAGGCTGGGTTTCCTTACATGTCACAAAATGGAATGGAAGCAGGTAAGGTCACCTTAACACTAATGCATCTCTACGGTTGGCTCCCAGTAGCCATGGAGACTGGAATACCTGCTAACACCTACGAATAATAGACCATTCAGAAGAGCCCTCAGGTAATAGTGATATGGGTGAGGGTGAGGGGATAGGAAATGAGACAACATCAAGCGTCAGTTTAGTGGGATGTGCCAAGTGAGATCATCTTCGCCTCTTCCTCTTTGTAAAAAGGTGATGTATGGGTACAGGGTATACCAAGGAGAATTGGAGGAGAATTAAAAGAAGAATATTGAAATATTGTAATCTTCAATCTAAATAACTTCCCCTCCCTCTAGCAGCAACATCTCATCTCTGATGATGTTTACTGGCGTGAGGACGGAACAACCTGTCACTCACATGACATCACAGCAATAGCAAACCACAACCATCCAACCAATTCCTGATGGACAAAATCAAGTCCAAACCTACATTTTTTCTTGTCCGAGAAGCCGTTGAATATATGTCATAATATAGACAAAAAGGCTATCATAACTTCAGTTTCATGTGACCTCAAGACTTTTGGAGCGTCTTTGTGGTGAAAGAGCCAGCAGGGGTTACGTGGGGTGCTATGAAAAAAAAAAAAAACTATTTATAATTGTATTCATTTGTAAGAATTGATTTGTGGTCCAGACTGAGCCGGGATCTGGACCGCAGGAATCTAATTGGTGACCTCTGGTCTATACAGATAATCAGAAAATGAATCTGATGCTTTACCACTAATATGACATCCAAGTGATTATGTACCGCACACATAAACAGAATCTGCTCTACACTGCACATTGCAATATTATTCTTCCCACTTTGAATGACAAACATACCTTACAAATAGATTTTTTTTTTTTGCAGAAGATGACTTTACATTCTTTCATGATCTTACCTCGTTTAATGTGCTTGAGTTGCCTTTCAGCCTCATCTCTCTCTGCAGCGAGTCTCTGGCACTAGAAAACACAACAAGTGTTGACATTTTGACAAAATTTATATAGAAGATATAACAAATAAAACAATTTGAGAGCACAGCAGTTTCTAAAACATTATATATGCAATACTGGTCAAACGTTTGGGGTCAGTAAGATTTTTTTTTTTTTTTTAAATAAATTAATACTTTTATTTAGCAAGGATGTATTAAATTGATCAAAAGTGACAGTAAATACATGCATAATGTTATAAAAGTTTTCTACTTTAAAAAAAAAACTGTTCTTTTGAACTTTCTATTCATCAGAGTCCAGAAAAAAATATATCTCATGGTTTCCACAAAGAACACTAAAGGGTTAGTTCACCCAAAAATGAAAATTCTGTCATTAATTACTCACCATGACACAAATGAAGATCTTTTTGATGAAATCTGAGAGCTTGCTGTCCCTCCATTGACAGCTACGCATTTAAAAACGTATTTAAAAAAAAACATAAAAAATTCTTACGAACCCCAAACTTTTGAACTGTAGTGTATATTCACACAAATGTACTTAACATCACATAGCATCTACTGAACCAGATTTCAGCAGATGTGAGGGTATGTTCCTGCTAGTTTATTCTGGACTGGATATCATTCTTTTATTAAGGATGTATTGTGTCCCAAAATGAATACACATGTCTTAGGTCCCATTGTAAATATTATAATTTTGGGCTTTGTCAGATATAGTGACAGTGGGTGCAATGCTCTGGAAAACCTCCTGACATCTTTCTAAGTAAACCACATAATTCTCCTTCACATTGCAAACGCATGTAAATAGTGTTGCCTTGCCACACAAATAGTGATCCACTGATACCTGAAACCTTATAGTGTCATTATAAACCATCAATTCGTTCGTAAATTTAAATAAATGCAGTTTATTTGGAACGTTTCATTCGAGAATTAGACATTTTAATATGAATGATGAAACCACATCCGAAATATGAAAATGCATGAAAGCACAAATGGAGAAATTAAGAGGTGTTATCTGCAACCACAAATTATGCGTGTCAGATGAATATTTTCCCTTTAAGGTCATCATCTGTGTGATCTGCACTCTTATATGAAATACAAAAGATGCGCAGACCCTGTCACATGAAAAGGGTGTCAACCCTCGAATGGATTAAAAAGCCGGTTAACTCACACAGCCACATCCCTTTTCACACCACTATGAGAAAAATGTATGTTCATGAACAGAGAATGCTAGCTAATAAATAGAAGCGAAGGCATTAAAGATATAGCCTATTCTTTTATGCATGCATTCTCTCACCTCCTTGCTCTCCTCCCGAGCCTCTCCCTCTTTATCTCCACCGGCCTCCATCTCACTCACTGCACAAATCAACACAATTACTCATACAACAATACATTCAACATTTAAACAATCATCTCATCTGCTGCTTTCCTCAGTAAAATCGTTGCCATTCAAAACTAGTTGACTCGAGTGTTATATTTGAAATGTTCAGTAGCCTACCACAGCCGGTAGTCAGCGGCGGCGCATCCATCATCTCCCCCTCCTCACACACAGAAGACTCAGCCAGTCAATGTACCAGTACCGCCCGGCGTCTACTATGGCGAAGGCTTGACTCATGAATATTAAGATACTTATGTCACGTTCGACGTACTTGATTTGCTGTAAGGAAAATATTACTACTGAATATTAATTTGGGTCACGTGACAATATGCTCGCTGCAAATCCCCTCCTCGAGAGGGAGCCAAACTCCGCTTAAAGCGACAGAGGCTGTTTCAATGGAAGTCAACGACGAAGATGCTTCATTGCATTCATTCAGTATGCCTACGCTAAATTAACCACTGAGTGGAAACATATTGTAATATAATACATTGCGTGCCTATCTACATGTTCATTTTACAGAAAGCTATGCGATTTCATCTTTATTTACCTCTTAAAAAGAAAGAGAATGAATTCCCGGTGAAGAGCTACACGTAGGCTATGGCCTCATTATCCAAAAAACAGTTTATTCTTGGATTCGCCAGATATCTGATTGGAAATCGTGGCAAAACAGCTCAGCATCGCCCACTCTTTTGGAGCGATTATTTGTCAGATCATTTGTTTAGTTTGCAATAACATTAAAATATGTTTCATTTTGTCCTTTAATTAATACCAAATAGTAGTTTATTTTCTTACTGAGACATTAAACAATAGCGATGACATGACATCACATTACAATACAAATCAATATCACAAACACCATTAATTGTATCAAACATAAAAAAATATATATTTAAAGCAAAAAGAGAAATCAGTAGCCTAATACAATAATAGGCCTACTGAATATAGCCTACAGCAAATTTTTTTAATACGATTTCTTTCTATGGAATAGCCTACAGAAGATTCAAAGATAAAACATCAAGAAGCATTGGTTAAACTGAAACAATGTATTATTGCTATATTCCGCTTCCATTAAATCTAGATAGGTCTTCCCGTTTTTATCTTGATCTCTTTTAGTGAAAAGTGTCTCAATGGTGCCCTCTTCTGTGACCTCCAAGGGCTTTCGATGGGTCCCTCTTATCCCAACAGAAATCACAATTTATGGAACTCAATATTGGAAAATGTACAGCATTTAACAGTAAACCTTGCTACTTCTCCCGTGGTATGTGCCTGAAACCTGTCTCCTCTTCCAGTGTCTGAATCTCTGAACCATAAGTCAATAACACCAGCTCTTTTGCATCTAAGAATCTCTTTAACTATTATATCCATCTCATCTGTTTACGAGATAGTATCCTCTCTTATCCTTTTTATTTTAAATTTTAGCCGAAACTTCAACAAAAGTTAAAATTCTCTTATAATATTTCTTTAAATGTAAGTAAAATAAAAAATGAATTCCCAATACTCTGTTCATAAAAATAAAAAAAAGATTATTTAATGGAAGCATAATAAAGAATGTAAATACATTAATATGCATATTATTATAGGCCAGGCTTAAAATACAATACTCAGTTTCATATAATATTTAACAACTCAGTCTCTGTCCACCAATGGGGTCCTTGGCCTGTTGATGGCAGATGTAAACACAGATGTTTCTAGTGAAATATGCTAAGTTTCATGCAATGCTGATATATATTCAAGTCATCATGGCACAGATTTTTGAAAGTAACGGTATTGCTCGAGTACTGAGGTGTGTTATCAACAACAGTTATCGCAAGAATGCAGGTTAGCACAACATGACCACCCACTTGCAGTGCACTGGCCAAGCAATAACGTTTGTGTACTTTTGTACAGTATGTTTCTGACATTAGTCTCCTTTCTCTTCCATTTGATCCTCATTTCAACAGCTTTCACAACTTCTGCACATGATAAACTATATATTTAGCTCACCCTTGTTGCACTTACACTGTGCGTTAAATGATTTCACAGCCCTAACATGCAACAGTTACAACACTTAACCCAAGCACCCTCTCCACGTTTACCAGAGTCATGCTCACTTTCACATGCTCTTCTCCTCTTTGGCTTACACACTTCTGTAGTGTGCACATATTTCTAACATAACAAAAGAGTCTTCATACATTCTTACTCAAATAAAAAATAGGTATCTTCACCATTTCAGTCTTAAACAGTATATAGAAGCTATTCGTTCAGCATTCACCTGCAAATGCCTTGTTTCTCCTTCACCCACATTTCTTTTTAATTTCTCTGTTGATGATTCCAATAGTACTTCAGTGATCACTCCACAAAGATCCATTCACCCAAGACTTTTGCCCTTGTTGCAACTTACTACAAGCTTTTTACATGCCATTTTAAATCTCATAATTAAGGTAGCCCATTCCACATAAGACAAAAAAGCATGGTATAGTAAATTATAATTATGACATTAAACTATGCCATAATTATGCAGTAAAAAGTCACAATTATGACATAAAAATTGAAATGATGACCATGTCAAAATGATGAGAAACTAAGTCATAATCAGTGTGGGGGGTTATGCAAGTAACGCAAGTAATGTAATGTAATGCACTTTTTTTAAGTAACACATTACTTTTAAATATACAACAAAATATCTTATGTTATATAACATTACATAAAATTACTAAAAATATGAGTTACTTTTTCAAATATATAACAAAAGTTACTTTGTTTTCCCATTTATTAACTGGTACCTCGAAATCGGGAAATAAGGTGCACTTTATTATCTTGTGTACTATTCTTCTACGATCCAGAATGGTTTTGTTTGAGCTGCGCCCTCTACTGTACAGGTGTGAATTTGCATTTTCTTCATCATTTTCATAGCCTGAGAAAACCCAGACAACTTCCGGCAAATTTAGATTTGCTCTGAAAGTTAGTCTGGCAAAGAGCTCATTCAAGCCCATTTCCAATCCGTCGAAATCGAGGCACCAATCAGAAACGTTGGGGCGGGCTTTACACGATGACGACAGCACTGGGATTTTGAAGCAGATTTTGTAGCCTACATTACAAAGATGGATGCCGCCGTCGAACATCACTCGTTCGAATCAGCTATCGCGTCTGTTTAAAGCGATTTGAACGTTTCCTTTTTGTTAAAAACCGAGCAAAGAACAACACTCGGAGATGTTTCTCCGCCGCTCTGCATACGTCATCTCCTTCATCGCTCTGATTGGGTTTAGGTCTATCCGCGACGTCCGTTGGTGACGCCCCTCTGGAAATGATTTCTCTATGACGCTTTGCCAGACCATAACTCAGTTACAACTGAGAATGGTCTGGTTTTAACCAGGCTATCATTTTCACATTTGCTGTGGCTGATTAATTTTACTTTTGGGGTGAAAGTGCCTTTACATTTCCCAAAAATATAACTTTTTTTGTTTAAAAAAACTAACAAAAGAAGCTAACGCAAAGGAAACGTAACGTGTTGCTTTCAATAAAAAGTAACCAAGTAGGCTAACAATAAGTTTTACTTTTTTAGGGAGTAACGCAATATTGCAACACATTACTTTTAAAACTAACTTCCCAACACTGGTCATAATTATGAGATAATAATCCACAATTATGAGGAAAAAGTTTTGATTAAAAGTGATCATAATTATGACTTTCATGTGTCACCTTTATGTGTCCTTTGCCTGCCTGTTTGTCACTCATAGCCCGCATGATAACACAATTACTGATCTACCACCTGGCACCAATCAGCACCCTCATCAAGAGCACTATCTGACATTCACTTCACATTCAGTCGGCATCTGGTCTTCAACAAGGACTGCAACGGAAAACCACGCTGCTCTGTATCAGGCAATGACTTTGGCAGTGTTTGCACACAATCCTATTGTTGAAATGAGATTATTAGAGGCCAGAGAAAAAGCAGAAGAAGGGTATCGTAGCAGTAATGAAATCAATGTTGTTGTTTTTTTTTTTTTGAGAGAAAGATTTTACTCTTTTATGCAGATGTTTACAGGTGGATCTAAACATCCAGTTAATCAAAAAGTTGGTATGAGTGTATGAGATTTAAGACAAAAATAAGTCTAAGAATAACTGATAAATTGTCTGTATTCCACAGAGTTAATTGCTGAAGGGCTACAATGGATTGAACAGACTAAGCCAATTAGGACTGTGATCTGTTCAGATTCATCGTTAGCTCTTAAAAGTATAATGTCGGGAAGTGACAGAGAAGATTTAATGATGGAAATATATAAATTTTACAGATGGGAAACAGAGGGTATAATGGTTTACATCTGTTGCATACCGGCACACATTGGGATAGCAGGAAATGAAACCGCTGATAAATTAGCAAAAACGGCATTACAGAAAACCTTGGATATAAAAGTACCACTGGGGAGAAGTGAGGTAAAATCAGTGATTATAAAGAAACTAGTAAATAAATGGCAACAAAGGTGGGAAAATAGCAGCACATGGAGATGGTATTATAATATTTCACAATTAGTAGGAAAAGAATGGAAGGAATAAGTAATGATCTCTAGATTAAGATTAGGACACACAGGCAATAACGGGGAAGCATGAAAATGGTATGTGTGATGTTTTAGAAACAGTAGAGCATGCATTTTTTAAAATGTAACTGACGATCAACGAAGTAGTTTATTTAATAATATAAAGGATAGACCAGTAAATGTCACGGACCTCTTGGGAAAGGGATCGAGAGATTCTCAGATATATGGGGCTGTTCTAATATTTTGGATTAGAGCATAGGATATAATATGGGGATTGTGATGTTTCTGCCCACCTTGAAGGTTGAGGAGCCCAGGGTGGAAGTTGGAGGAACTCAACACGCAGCGCCAGCAGAGGCATTACATCCACAAATAAAAAAAATATATATATAAATAAATAAAAAGAATATACAGATGCATCACCCATGTAGGCTGTACAGTAGGTGGCGGTAATACTCCTAAGGAGTGAGCGGCCAGTAAGAAGAAGAAGTGTTGCGCACAAAGGTACCTCACAAAACTGATTTCTGACAGACTTCTGAAGAGGCGTAACAGTTTAATGATTACAATCAAATAGGGTGAGCTATTTACTACAATAGTATTTCTCGCTAGAAAGGACATCAAAAGTGGAAAACAATTGTCAAAAATGAACATTTACACAGAAACTGCCCACCAGCTGCAACTTTCAGACGGCGC